CCAGTCACTGGCCGGTGCGAGGGAGGATGGCCAGTCTGTCAGGAGGCAGTGCCAAGGGAACAGCTTGCGGTGATAAGCAGCTGAGGTAAGTAACATAAACTAGTGGAGAGTGCTGAAAGCACCAGAGGATGCCGAAGAAGATTCCTTCAGTTGGGAGCTGTAATCACTCTAACAAAAAAGTAGGTTCATGATATGCATGAACTTCTTGAGAAGGTAATCAGCTTTCTCGGAAGAGGAACTCATCCATGTTGGGACAGTGCACTGTAAATTGGATGTAAGACAGTGGCTGTAACTTAGTCCTGTCACTGAGAGCTGGGAGAAGGCGGCTGGTCCAGGACCACGGCTGGTGCCCCTGGCAGCTACTGGGCTTGCTTCCCATCAGGTGCTCGTGTTCCCAAGTTAATGCTCCTTCATGTTCTATCATCCTCTTCGTAGATTTGTGAGATTTCCATCTTTTCTCAAAGCCTGGACAGTGTAGTTTATTTTGGTAGGATTCTGAGAGGGAGTTCAAGCTGATGTTTGTTTTATGTCGGAACCTACAGAAACTGAACCCTACTGTCAGTCAGTGCTGTGCATGGTGCTGTTCTATGCTTGTCCGTATTTAAGATTATCTGTATAAGGAAAAAAGGCATAGTATAAATTTAGTTGCAGTTTTGATGTCAAGAAATGAGCAATTAAATAACTAAATTAGAAAAACTGTTCATCATTTTGACAAAAATGCGATTTATTTTCCCCTCTCCTGCAGCTCTCCCCACTTTCTACCAGAAATAGTGTTCCAGGAAGATTTTTCATACTAAAAGTAGAAAAACAAAAATAAAAAAGCAGAGGCAGAAGGAAGTGTTCTCAAAATTATCTTTTATTTTTCTTAGAGCAATATGTTTAGTGTAATAAAGATGATTTTAAGCCATCTGAGTGTTTTTACTAGTATTTCAGAGAATGTAGCCATCTAGATTATTTTAACATTGTAATGGTTTAACATTCTACTAATGCACAGTGAGTTTTTTTGGTCGGAGTTGTTAGAGTGCTGTGATTTTCTGGAAAATATACCTTTTCAAGATTTTCTAGTCAGAATAGATACCTTTCTAAAATGAGGTTCAATTTTTTTACAATGCCTCTAATTTATCTCTCTATTATCTCTCTTACATTGCTTACATAATCTTAGAAATGTTTTCAGGGCTTTTGCTAAAGAGTTTTTGCCTAATAAATTCTGATTTAGGTGTTTTATTTGGTTCCTATTGGTTTTCTTTAAATTACATTTTATACCCTGTTTTCTGCTTTGAATGCATTGGACAGTTTGGGCAGCATAGGAGCACCTTTTTTGATATCAGTCCATGTTTTTTACTATTTCTTCTAATGATCAATGACATTCATATTGTAGTTTGATGCTGAGAACATATAATATCCACATCTCTGGCTGACCTGCTGTTAAGTGATCAACGTTGAGCAAATTCTCAGGTCTCTGTTTAACTGGGTCCCATGTCATCTCAATCAGATTGACAGTCTGATTAAATTTTGGCAGAAGCACTTCATACTGGCATAAATCATTAAACCCCCTCCCTTCATAAGAAGAAAAATAACCTTTCTTTCTTCTGGCTAATTGACTGTTTTTTGTAAAGGCATCAAAAGACATCTTAATTTGCTTGTGGGATATATGACTAACAGAGTGATACCTTTCATCCACAGTGAAAACTACAGTATGAGAAGTCATTGTCTTCTCTTGAAGAAGTCATTATGTAATTTCTGTATTCACTGAAATGGAAGATGTTCATTACAAATCTGAGTCTTGCCTCAAAGCTTTCAAGCCTCAAAGTCAAGTTAATATTTTTTGTAAAAGTGAAAAGTCAATAATAGATAAAGCAGTTTGTATTTCATTTACATAATGTAAAAAAAAAAAAAAAACAAAAAACAAAAAAACAAACTTCAGAGCAGTGCATAGTTTTCTAAGAATATGAAAATCATATGGCTTTGTCTGGTGAAGCCTAAGAATGTATTGTATTAAAATGCCTATTAATCCCTATGGTCTAATAGGTTTGTTACATATCTGGATTGTCTTTAAGGGAATAGCACTTTCTTATAAGCTTGCATATTGTAAAAGGTAGTATTTGATAATGTGTAATAACAGTTTAGGTAATCAATGAAGACTCACAGGTAATTTTCACTGTGGAAGAAATAACAGAATCCTTTCTTTTCTGGCTGTCCCGTAAATCTATCAGAACAAAATGAAATTGTTCAAGAGGACATAGCTGAACTTAAGAAAACAGGAAAATTTGTGGTCATTTTCTTCATTCTTTAGCAACACCTAATTCTCTTCTGGTCCTTCATACTATATATCCAGACTTAGTAGTTACTGGTGCCTGGGATTTCAGATAGGACAGCAGGAATATAAGTCTAGTAACCGATGGCCAGTAGTTAGTACTTTAGTCTGATTTTTTCTCTTACTTTAGTACCTTGCTCTTCTTGAAATGTTAAACCTAAAACAGGCAAATGGAGGACATGCAGTAGCTGGGAAATTAGGCAACCATTTAGTCTGCTGATTGTTGTGGCAGTACATGCTATGGATCATAATCTAGCAGCGAGTTTCAAAAAGGGGAAAAAAAAGCAGACCAAAACAGCCTTATATATTGTCTGAGGTGATTTTGAGACTTTATTAATAAGCACAGCGTTGGATTCAGTCTTGCACTTTGGAGACCAAGTTTTCCTCAATACACCATACTAGTTTGTGAATGGATTTATCGGAGGACTGAAAATTCATATGGTCCTAGATGGACTTGAACCTGCTTCGTCTGCTGACACAACTGCAAACATTTGGAGCAGCAGCATTCAAGTCAGCTGGGGTTCTTTGTAACTCATGAGTTATTTCTCAGTCACTACACAGATATATTTTCAGCACTTTCAAAGTCACAAATATTTTATCTTCCTGTAATTTAACTGTTTACTACAAACAAATGCTGAATGAACATCAGTGTGAAGTGGTTAAGTGGATTTATCAGCCAGGGACCAGGGAGAGTTCTGCATGGACTGGGACCTAACAGAGCATGCATATGCTTTGGAGTGCAAGAAAGAAAAGTAGAGCTAGTGCAGAAATGCAAGAAATAAAGCAAAATTTGGACCAAATATGAATCTAACCAGAAATGTAGCTAACAGTGCATCTCAGTAGGAAGCAAAAGAAGTTGAATTGTTAGGTTCGAGAAGAATCAAGAAAGATGTGAAAACCAGCCTCACGTTTGTAAAACTACAAAGTGAAAAGGGCAAATTGTTCTTTGCATCTGTTATGAACAGAACAATAAAGCTAACAGTTTTAACTCCAGCAAGGAATATGTAGGTGGCATATACCTTCTGCAGTTTTTCTGTCAGATATTTGTTGATAAGTTGCTGCTTGAAGGCATTTTCATTTATTCATACTAACTGTAATTCCCATTCTCAAAGCAATTCTCTTGAAAAACTTGGTTCTCTTTCCACTAAAGACACTGGAATTACTGCCAAAATTAGACAATGGTAAAATTTAGCCCTGAACAGATGGGTAGAACAAAGCCTATGTCATACTCAAGTCTCACTTGAATCAACAAAACAAGATTTCTGTTTACAAGGGTAAGCCTTATTCTAGATTCATGGTTCAGAAATAATTTTCCCCATAAATTAGGATGTGAAGACTGCATAATCCAGTGTGATACATAAAGCCAAAAAAAAAAAAAAAAATTAGCTCACTCGAATGGATTCAGTGTTAAATGTTCTGACACATGATTAGATACATGAAAAACTGCAGAACTATCCAAATACTGTGTAGAATCTGTTTGGAATAATTTTGTTTGTTGAGAGTACCTTGCAGGAAACAGTTTCAGAAAGAGTGTGAAATCTGTATAAATATTGAACAATTCCTTTAATTCAAAGGGTGGCAAATGTTCTACTCGGAGGACTTTACATGACTGAGAGGACCAAATTACTGGAAGGTAGCCAATACCCCTCTCACTCATTTATAATTAAGTCAGATTGCTGTACCATAAGAATAAAAAATCGAAATATGTATGTTCGTAAATATTGTTTATACATTTGTGCAGGAGGAACGTGTTAAATAAAAGTCATTGCATAGCTGTTAAATCAAATTTGTATATAAAAGCTAGGAATAGCCTGCTTATGGCACTGAATGATAAATATAATTATGGCATACCAAGCAAAATACCTGCTTTTTGTCAAAATCCATGAGTCAATACCATAAAATCAGATTAAGTTTCAGTCCCTGTAGATAGCATGCATTTGATTATATTTTAGTGGAAAATGGGGTTTTATCTCATACAGATTTAGTTTTGCTTTAATGTATGGAATATCTATATAATAGCTACAATACCAAAGAAACCTGAATCTACTCATTCATCATCTGAAAACTTATATGTATTATCATGAGAAACTCTCATGGTATCTTTCCAAGCTAATATAGCACAGGTTCATCACCCTGCAAGAATAATATGCGTGTAGGATTCAGTGTGTCTATGATACATTATTTAAGAGTACTACTAAGTGCAGTTATCTAGTGTCCTACTCTCCCAGAGAGCCAATAAAGTGAATGTTGTCTTGTGTGAATGATGGTGTTACTCTTCTGTTGTACAGATATTAATCCTGCTGAGGTCCATTAACTTTTGTTTGTTGTACTGGAAAAATTACTTATTCTAAGAAAGAAAGTAAGAAAGCCCAATTTGAGAGTCTTGGATAATATCACAGTGCAATTTCCATACTCATGGAGATAACATGACTTAGTTCAGTGTTCAAGCAATACAGCTCCTTTTTCCTGCCCTTTATATAGGCAGGTGGGATGGCCCTGTTTTGTTTCATGTTGTCTTTTATGATATTTCTAGCAATGACCCCCAAAACCTGCACATTCTTCAGAACGCTGCACCTGCTGGGCAGGTTTTTCTCAAGTTATAAAATGGAAAGAACAATTATTTAATCTGCAAAAGTGTTAAAATTTGTTATGATATTTAGTCACTTTTTTTGTTTTTCCTTTCCAGGATTACTTACTGCCATCTACCTTTCCAGAGTAAATGGCTTTATGTTGGAACAGAGAGGGGAAATACACACATTGTAAATATTGAGTCCTTCATTCTTTCTGGATATGTTATCATGTGGAACAAGGCAATAGAACTGTAAGTGCAGACTTTTTTACATTTGTGTCTGTAGTCATTTTCATAGCTGTCTTAAGACTCATTTTTAACAATAATTTGTTTTTACAAATATTAACAAATCTTTTAAAAACCTTTCCTTCTCATGAATGCATTTGCAGTGTTAACTGTTTTGTTACAGGACATTAGGAGTTCAGATTTATGATAGAGACCATGTAATTATATAAAAGAAGTTATTTGGTAATTTGTTTAACTATGGAGTTCCATGAAATACAGATAATCATTAATCTTACAAATTCAGATTTTGATATTTTTATGAGGGTAGCTTGATCAACATCTCCTCCAAACATCCTATGAAGAGAATAATGGAGCACATTTTCCCTAAGACTCTATGGAGACCTTTTCTTCATTGAACTGTAGAATCATTTAGCTGAGAAGAGACTGGAGGTCTCTAGACCAAGCCTGCTGCTCAACACAGGGCCAATTTCAAAGTTAAGTCAGGCTCATCAAAACCTGATGAAGTGATAGAAAAGGTAATGAGTGTCTGTTAGCCTGTCAGAGAACTGACATTTAACACAGGTGCCAGTGTCATGGGTATGAAATGGAGGGAGACATAAAAATCTGACTGGGATAAATCTATGCTTCCTGCAAGCAAAAGCCTCAACAGAAATGCAAAATTCTTTCTCTGCTGCTTCCTCTTCGAAGTTCCGGCAAGAGGAACTGCTGCAGGCAAACTAATAGTATTTCGTGCAGTTTCTGAGACATCTCCTTCATGTTGTGAGGAACCTGTAACCTCTGGTAGTAAACTGAAATTCACCAAGCTCAGTGAACCAAGAAGTCAGTATCTAAGAACAGGGCCACAGGTCTACGATGGTGGATCTAATTCTGTCCCAAGCAGAGATCCAATTGATAGCAACCACTTTTCTACAAAATTCTCCCCATTTCCTTTTTACTCCCCTCACTATTATTAATGACTTTTATTAGTTACTGTGTCCCCCAGGTTGACAAAACTGATGCCTTGTTTTCTTTCCTCCCCTCTGCCCCCATCAAACTTCATAGGCACAGTCATAAAAATTTAATTTTTTCTTCAAAGGAGATAAAAACAGGGATTCAAATGGTAATCGGGATTCAGACAGTCTGCTGGCAAATCTTTTGTCCAGTTCTTAATTTTGGAATGTTTGTTTGTCCTGACTTCATAAGACTTTGCTCAGCTCTGCTCAGTAGTTATGGCTAAAAATTACCGCTGGAAAATGTGGTTTAATCAAAACCAGAACTAATATGTTCATTTTGATGAGTTCAAGTGGGAAGTATCTTCATTATTTTCTCTTTCTCACTTTGTTTTGGTGATGTTGACATATTAGAGGTTTTTTTATTCCTATATTTTAAAATGTATATATATACTATATTGAGTAGATAATGCTTCTGAGGTTTTGAGAACAACAGATTTTCATTCTGAGAGCATTTGGAATTTTTTTTTTTACTCCAGACATTAGGATGTTTCTATTCTGTATGGAAATAAATCTGAAAGATTTTTATGACATAGAAGCCTTCTACCAAGTTTCACTTCCTAATTTGTTTGGATAATTTTTTTTTTTTTTTTAATGGCCACAACAGACCTTTTTCATGAGAACAAAATAGAATGATGCCTCTCTTCGATTAAAAGTATGTGGGGAAATAAGGGCTGCTTACTAACAAGCTTCAGGACTAAGTTGTTGAGATAGGCTAGATGCTGTGCAAGATGCTACCTCTCTAGAACTTTTTAGTAAACAAGCAGCCTCTCCTAACTATCTTCTTCGTATTGCCTAGCCAGGAGTATTACATAGATTTTCTGAAATTTTTCTTCCATGAGTTGTGAAAGGTAATGACAACATAGTACAGATAGGCTTTGTCACCTCAAATACTTGGAGATGCTGCGTGGTTACCATAATAGTTTCTTTTGAAAAGCTAGCTTGACATGTACTGTTTTACTGACAGTTGACCACAGGTATTCATTCATTACTGCTTCTAGATCTATCAATTCTACAAGTGTAACTTGATTCCTGTAAGCAGTGTGCTAGTCTAAGAAGGCTGTATCTTCTCCACTGAGCCTCATCATGTACTTCTTGATATGGAATGGAGGAAGTTGTCCTTGCCTATATTACGCAGGTAGACAGGGGATCCTGTGTGTCTCCAGATTAATTTCTCTGTATTAGAGTAAGAGGCTGGTGGGGATAATGGTGACGTTTGCCACAGCAGTCACCTTTACAGATACTATAGCACTGCTGAAGATGAAACTAAGTGACTTTTCTCAGTAAAGTACTTTGAACTCTCTCTAGTAACAAACTATGATGTCTGTTCCAGTACTTTGCTTTCTCACAAGAAAAATCTAACTTAGATTAGCTTTTAAAGAGAATGTTATTAAGTGTACTTCATGAGGATGGGCTTATGATAGTAGACTTTCCTTTAGAATTGTAGAGACATATTTTTGAGAGAACAATTTTATTTTGGGCCATGGGTATGTTCTTATTTGATTATATTTTTGAATCTTCACATTATTTTCACACAATTTTCATGTAATTTCCACATTTTAGTATTCTAGAATCATATGATAATTCATGTTGGAAGACCCCTATGGAATTTCCTAGACCAATTTCTTGCTCATGGTAAAATCAGCTATGAACAACCAGGTTGTTCAGGGCTTTCAGTTCCTAGGACCTGTTGATGTTAGATACTTTCAAAGATGAAAGAAAAAAGAAAAGCATATGCATGTAAAACTTCAAGTACAGCTTCAGCATTACCATGAATTGTGTAAGAGGTAATTGTGCTCATAACATTGTTTTTCATTATGAGATAGATTATATTGTTTCAGAGTGTGGGATTAGTTTGAAAATGTTACTGTTCTCTATAAAGATTGGAAGGAGATGATTTACCTTCTGTGAAAGCATATTGGTGTCAAACTTCTTGACAAGGAAAGACCAGTAAAAGTGGTTGCTCTGATGCTATATTCAAGACCTTAGTTTAGATGGAGGGCTAAATAGAATTTTGAGTGTGTCAGAACTGTGTCATCTGCACAAACAAGCCTGAGAGTTCTTCCCTCTTCATGCAACTTTCATCCAGTTTCTAAAGTTGCAGACTAAGTCTACCAACATAACTTGACTTTCTTTCCAAATCCCTCCTCATTTTTCTCACTGACTTGTACTTACTCCTAATAAAATCTCTGTGAATTTTTATAATGTGGATTTAGCTCGGTTGTCATTAGGATTTCAAGGCTCTACAGTGAAAACTAGTAGGAGATTTAGCTGGTTAATCTTTAAAAAACCTGAAAACATTGGAATGTTGAACTATACATCACCATACCTAAATCACTGTCAATCCAGATGACAGCTCATTTTGTGAGAATACAACCAAACCAACCAACCAAACAAACAAACAAAAAACCCCAAACCCCATACCAGCTGAAATTCCAGTTCTCTTAGTTTTTCAGAACATGGTTGAAGAGGGCCTCCAAATAAATTGCTAACGCTATGGCCAAGGTAACCCAAAGAGGTCAGAATACCTATGTTGTCATTTTACCCTTTGGAAAACACCTACAAGTTGCATTCTAGACTTTCATCATGGACTGAGTTTAACCCTCTCAGGTCATAATGATGTCGCTCAGTAAATAATAAAATAAATGGTATTGCATAGGTGGAAAAATATATGGAGCATAGAAAGTATATTCCAACAGTTAATTTTAATCTGTTCATGGATTTACCAAGGTTTCAACCCTGCAAAGAGTTTCATCACACATTTTGAGATTAATTCATTCCAGAGATCGTAACTGTCATCCTCAGAAAAAAAACGTTGTCAGTCAGTGAGGCTTACCAGATGACAACAAGAATTATTTTTCTAATTGTGATTCTGTTGCAGTGAAAGACTAAGGTGAAGAGGCTTAGTAGTTTAAAGAATTGAAGGAGAAACAGGTTTGGATGTAACATTTTTGGATGGTATATGATGCAAGAAATCCTATCAGCTTGTCCTGCATGTCTATTTGGACTTAGAAAGTTGGCTTTCATTTTGTTTTTTGGTGGGTTTTTCTGTTACCATTTATGATTTTGTTGCCTACTTTTGTATCAAAATATACTGAAAAATCTGTAGAGCTTTATATTTTGAAGCGATAGTGGTTTTCTCACTATGATCTGTTCAGAATCACCTAGTAGAAATATATGTCAAAAAGATGGTCGTAATGCCTGTTTTATCATAGGAACCATTGACTTCTATAGGAGAGATCATCCAGCTTGCTTAAACAATACCTAATACTAGTGAGAAACTAAGGCCTGAATAGACTTATGATGCAAAGGAAACATGAAATTTTTTGTTTGAGATTATTTTCAGTACTGAGGCATAACTGATTCCAGGAGTTAAAGGAAAAATTCCTTTAAATTGTGTGCACTGTCTAAGTTTCAGTGAATTTCACCTTGTCCAGAGCTGAGAAAGAACATTTAGAATATGGGGGGGGTTTAGAAACATTTTCTCTAGCATTTTTTGTCTTCTCAATTTCTATCATTTCAGGCATTTCACTACCTCAGTCTGCACTGAAGCATCTTTTCAGCTAGGAATGAAGAATAACTCAAAATTTTTTCACTTGTCATTTCTCTGTCGTTAGCAGAGCTAGTCCTCTGCCAGATATGTCTGGGGCTCATGATACTGTTTGGTTTTCTATTCTCTAATAAGCAAACAGTTTCTCTCTTTTGCCTTCAGAATGTTTGGAAACAGGTCTGGAAGAGAAAAATAGTCAGAGCCCACTGTGTTTCTATTTACTCCAACTACAGTGAGATTGATTTTCTCAGCCTGCAGGATCACACATTTTAAAAGGTCATCTGGTGGTGGGAGGGAAAGGAGGATCCTGATACGAGTCCACTGAACTCCCAAAATGAGAAATCTGCATTGTAAGCCCTCTTCCCAAGCATGCAGATTCCAGTGTTTGAACACACTACCAGATGATGAATGAATAACTGAAACTTGTCAAGATTTATGGGATTTAGAGTATCAAAGAATTGAGTAAA